GCCTCATGGACAAGGTTTTCCGCGAACAGATTGGCGGTTTGTGGTGGTATACCTTGATGATATATTGATCTTCAGCAAATTCATGGAGGAACACATAAAGCACCTTGAGGAAGTGTTCACCATCCTCAAAAAGACGCAACTCCATCTTAACTTAGAGAAATTTGAGTTAGGGAGGGATAGCATCATCTATCTTGGATATCGGTTGTCTGTTGCAGGCCTAGAGGCTAAGGCAACCAAGGTTGAGGTCATGCACAATTAGCCTCAGCCCGCGAACATTCACGTATTGCACTCTTTTCTTGGTCTCGCGTCATACTACCGGAAGTTTGTGCCCCGCTTCTCTATTGTTGCTCGCCCGTTGTCCCGGTTAACAAGTAAGAACGCTCCCTGCGCTTGGAATACCACATGCGAGGACGTCTTTCAAGCCTTGAAAGTTACCCAGTACTCCGCATTGCAGATTCCAAACTGACATTCGTAGTTACTACGGATGCAAGCTAGTATGGAATTGGCGCGGTGCTGCAGCAAGATGACGGCGATGGCTTGCGACGACTCGAATACTACAGCAAACGCATGCCTAACGAAAAGGTAGCTACTTCCACCTACATGCGTGAGCTCTATGCTTTGCGTATGGCTTTGGAGTATTGGAAGCACTATCTTTTGGGACGCCACTTCAAAGTGTTCTCAGATCATGAGACTTTGAAGTGGATCAAAGAACAAACTACCCTGTCCCCTACATTACTTCGCTGGTTCCATGAAATTGACATTTTTGACTTTGAGTTAAGACACAAAAAGGGTTGCTATAATCGAGTTGCTGATGCATTCTCTCGCAACCTTGAGTACATGACTTGCCTTGTGAATTCCTACGACCTCCAGAAGAGACCGAGGGAGGAGATCGTAGAGCACAATGCCAAGGATCCGAACCTTAGTCTCATCCTTGAGCAGCTGCGGGCTGATCCCAACAGTCAGCCTGATTTTCACGAGTGTGGAGGACGGATTTTTCGTCGCTACAGGAATCACGACCGTTTCTGTGTGCCCAACCATGAGCCTCTCTGCACACACTTTTTGGACTTGGCTCATGGCCGAAGTGGACACTTCGACATGGCAAAGACATATGGAAACCTATTGAGACAGTTTGATTGGCCTGGCATGAAGGGATCTGTTGAAAAGTTTGTGGTTGAATGTCAAGTCTGTCAACGAATTAAACCATGTAGACAAAAGCCCATGGGGCTACTTACACCCCTTCCCATTCCCGATGGTCCCGGGGAGTCTCTATCGACTTCACCGAAATGGGAAAGGTATGTAAGAACGGCTATTCACAAGTCATGGTGATTGTTGACCGCTTCTCTAAATTTCTTAATCTGATTCCTTGGCCATCTCATGCTCCAACTGAATTGGTGATCCGTGAGTTCGAACAGAAGTTCATTTTGCAGTTCGGAACCCCGAAAACTCTCGTGAGTGATCGGGATCCGTGCTTCATCAGTACTGAATGGAAAGACTTCACGTCCCGACTCCCTGGCCTTGGGGTATGCATGACATTTGGCCGACATCCCGAAGCCAACAGTTTGGCTGAGGAAATCAACCAGATTGTGTTCCAACTTCTCCTCGCTTTAATCATTCCGGATCAGGAAACATGGGATGAAGAGTTGTATTCCGTCAAGGGGTTGTACCCATTCATTCTGCCACCGGCATGACACCAAACAGGTTGCATTACGTTTGGCAGATTCGTGATTCGCTCTTCTACCTATTCCCTGAGCAGCCAGCTGGTTTAACACCCGGCTTCAGGGCCAACTACGATCCCTTGCTCAAAGTTGCCATTGCGACAGCACACCATGATCCATCATGCAAACAAGAAGCGCAGACCTTCAGATATTGAGGTGGGAAGTGATGTCTGGGTCATGTCTGGGTCAAGATGTCTGAATTTTCAGAAGAAGAGGGAGTCTCACGCAAACTTCACCCACTCTATTATGGTCCGTGGGAAGTTCTGGATGTGATTGGCGAAGATAGCTTTGGCCCTTCATACGTAGTTTCTGTGCCACCTCATCTGCACACATATCCCGTTTTTCATGCATCAAAACTATATCAAAACTATATCAAAACTATATCTCCATCGTGACGCTAAATCGTTCGATTACCGTGAAGACATGATTCATCGCGCAATCCATGGCGAACATGAGATAGACCGAATTAAACAGCATGTAGGGAAGGGACGCAACATACAGTACCAGGTTAATTTCATGTATCACCCGTTGGATGATCTATACTGGATTTCCAAGCAGAAACTGCTGCGCAGCGCACTGCGCGTTGTTAAAGCCTGCGAGCGACAAATTGCCTCTAATGATGCACCTAAAATCTCTGCCAAGCTCACTGGGACAGAGTATTCTGGAAATCTCTTTGCCTTGTTTGCCTACGATGCGTTTGTCGGGGACTCAGAATGAGTTACTTGCTCGAAGGGACCTCGCTCTTGAGGGGGGAGTAGTGTGATGACCCGACCAAATATGGACTGAAACACGGCTGATTTCTGAGTTTTGCTCATAGACTGAATGCCTTGCTGAGTTTCCCGCTTGCTACTAAGTTCTCTAAGTCTGTGTGTGTGCACGCTTGCTGGACTGCATGTCTGTCTGAGTGCTGGTTGGCTTGAGTGTGTGTGTGGCCCGCAAGGGCACTTGTTCGTTCGTTGGGCCCGGAGGGCTGGTACTTACCGTGCTCGTGGCATTGAGGATTGCAGCGGGGGAAAACACTCAAGTGGCGGGGTCCCGCTGCGCTTGAAGCAGCAGGAAACACTCAAGTAGCAGGTAGGCCGGTACCACACCCTGAAGCGGTAGATGTGCTGGGTACTGGAGGCCGAGCAGAAGAAGACACAAGTGGCATTTTTAGAG